ACTCCTGGGCTCAAGCAATTCTCTTGCCTCAGCCTCCCAAGTAGCTGGGACTACAGGCGCCTGCCACAACGCCCGGCTATTTTTTTTGTTTGTTTTTTGGTTGCAGCTGTCATTGTTTGGCGGGCCTGGGCTAGATTTGAATCCTCGGGCTCAAGTGTACGTGGCTGGTGTCTTAGCCACTTAAGCCACAGGTGCCGAGCCACACATACATATTTTTTAAAGTTTTTTGTATTTTTTTTTTTTTTCCTGAGACAGAGTCTCAAGCTGTCACCCTGGGTAGGGTGCCACTGCATCACAGTTCACAGCAACTTCCAACTCCTAGGCTTAACTAATTCTCTTACCTCAGCCTCCCAAATAGCTGGGACTATAGGTGCCCACCACATGTCCAGCTATTTTTTTTTTTTTTTTGGTTGCAGTTATCATTGTTGTTTGGCAGCCCGGGCTGGATTCCAACCCACTAGCTCTGGTGTATGTGGCTGGCACCTTAGCCACTTGAGCTACAGGCGCTGAGCCATATTTTTAGAAGTATTTTTAAAAACTTCCCACAAAGATAAGACCAGCACCAGATGGCTTCACTCTGAATTCTACATGGGTTTAAAGAATTAACAGCAATCCATCACAACTCTTTCAAAAAGTAAACGAGAAGAGAAAATCTCCAAGCTCATTCAATGATGTCAGAAAAGACATCATAAGAAAAGAAAGTTAGACACAAATTTTTCTTTTAATACACACACACAAAAAAACTTCTAATAAAATAAAACAAACTGAATACAACAATGTATAAGGAATCACATTCCAAGACCAAGAAGGATTTATCTCAGAAATGCAAAGTTGGTTAAACAAGCAATAATCAATCAATGTAATAAACCATTCAATAGAATATAGAGAAAAGCTGCATTATCCTCTCAATAAGACTCAGAAAAATCAGTTGACAAAACCTAACAACCTTTCATGATAAAAAGCACTTACAACAGGAATAAAATGGACCATCCTCAAACTTGAAAAGGAGTTATCTATGAAGATCCCATAGCTAACATATTTAATGGTGAAAGCCTAAAAGCATTCTCCCTAAGATCAGAAGCAAGACAAAGATATACATCCTTGCCATTTTTATTACACATTATACTGGAGGTTCTTGAAGGGAAACTAGACAATAAACAGAAATAAAAAGCATCTATATTGGAAAAGAAAAAGTAAAACTATCTGTATTTGTAGATAACATGATGTTACCAGTATATAGGAAATCTTAAGATATTCACTCAAAAACTATTAGAACTAATCACTGAGTTCAGGAAGGTTGCAAGACACAATACATGGTATACAAAAATCAATTGTTTATAGTTGGGTATTGTGGCAGGCACCTGTAGTCCCAGCTACTTGGGAAGCTGAGGCAAGAGTTGGAGGTTGCTGTGAGCTGTGATGCCATTGCACTCTACCAAGGGCGACATACTGAGACTTTATCTCAAAAAAACAAAAGAGGCTCGGCACCCGTAGCATAATGGTTGTAGTGCCAGCCACATATACCCAGGTTGGTGGGTTTGAAGCCGGCACGGGCCACCTAACCAACAATGACAACTGCAACAAAAAATAGCCAGGTGTTGTAGTGGGAGCCTGTAGTCCCAGCTACTTGGGAGGCTGAGGCAAGAGAATTGCTTGAGCCCAAAAGTTTGAGGTTGCTGTCAGCTGTGATGTCATAATACTCAACTGAGGGTGACACAGTAAGACTGTCTCAAAAACAAAACAAAACAATTGTTTAAGTTTTGGCACAATGGCTCAGGCCTTTAATTCAAGCACTTTGGGATGCCTAGGTAGGAGAAATGCTTGAGGCCAGGAGTTCCAGATCAGCATGGACAACATACTGTAAGAATTTTTTTCTATCTCTATAAGAATTTTTTTTTTGAGACACAGTCTCACTCTGTTGCCCAGTCTAGAGTGCCATAATGTCAGGCTAGCTCACAGCAGCAAACTCAAACTCCTGGGTTCAAGTGATCCTCCTGTCTCAGCCTCCTGAGTATAGGTAGTATAGGTGCCTGCCACAAATAACGCTGGGCTAGTTTTTCTTGTCTGTTTCTTTTTATTAGAGAGGGTCTCACTCTTACTCAGGATGGTCTCGAACTCCTGAGCTGCTTAAGCAGGTGGGTTGTGTGAGCTCAGGAGTTTAAGACCAGCCTAGGCAAGAATGAAACCTTATCTGTACTAAACATAGAAAAAACTAGATAGGCTTCAGGCAGGTACCTGTAGTCTCAGCTATTTGAGGCTCAGGTAGGAGGATCGCTTAAGCCTAAAAGTTTGAGGTTGCTATGAGCTACGATACCACCACAGCACTCTACTCAGGACAACAGAGTGAGACTCTGTCTCAAAAAAAGAAAAAAGAATACTATAATAAGTAGGTCCTCTACAATTCTTCTAAAATAGAAATCTTAAATGTCATCCAGTGTTGACAATACATACTGACCTATAGGATGTGTGCATGTGCACACATACCCCCACAGGATTTATACACACACACAAAGTTTATTTCACAGGTAATACATGTAGGTAAAGCTGAAATGCCGGATTACAGTGAAGCAAAATATCCCAGGACCTTGTAAAGTTTTTAATATATTAATGTGTACAGTTAATTTGTACTAATGCACATTTCAAAACTTATTTGACCCCAAATAACTCTGTAAAGTCTAAAATATCCTTTTCTATTAATTTTTTGGAAATAGAGATGAAGTCTTGCTATGTTGCCTAGGCCAGACTAGAACTCCTGGGTTCAAGCAATCTTTCAGTGTGAGCCCCGTAAGTAACTGGAACTACATGTACATACCACTATGCCTGATAAATAAAGTCTATTAACAGCTTCTGGAAACGTGCCCATAAAATACCATCACTTTGAAAAATACTAATGAAAGAATTAATATTTTAATTTTTCCACTGTTAACTGTAAGATTTTACAGCAAGAAAAATAACCTTTAATTTATATATCTATGATGGATCCAAAATACCCTAGTATAAAATAAGATTTTAGTTATCACAAAATCACAATATCTAGACTATAATCACTAAACGTTTAATTAAATGACAAGTAAATAATAAAAGACTAACAAAATCTGACTGTTCTGAATTACCCTAGTGAGGTAACTCAATGTCGAGAATTACAAAAAGAAGGCACTACAGGCAGTATTTTTCTCTATTTAAGCTACAAAATCACAGGGTATTCACAAATTAATGATGCCTACTAAATTAGAGTTCAATATAGTCTACTCTTAAACATCGTTTTTTATTTAAATAAAAAAACTCACTATTCTATGTTCTAAGACATTTTTTCATTGAAGTGATTTTTTAACTTCGACAAGGTTTATAATAAATACAAAATATTTGTTACAAATATGTATATATACACACAATCACTTACCATTGTGTCAGAGTTAAGAATCTGTCTCATAAATTCCAAAAATGAAGACGCAAGTTCTCCTGTGTCCTTACTAAATGTGGCGATCACTCGTTTCAGTAAAATATGCAGAGCATTACTATTTTTCCTTAAAGAACTGTAAATAAAGAAAATAGAGACATTGTCTAAAAATATGAGGATATAAAACTAGTATAAGAAATGAACTATCTCAGTTCAGACAGAATAAAATTTAGTCTACTACTTTTAAAAATGTATAAAGTACTTTGGTGTATTTGTGTACACAAACAATATCAAAGCAGTATCTACAGTTACCAAGTTTTTTTTTTTTTTTTTTTGGAGACAGAGCCTCAAGCTGTCCCCCTGGGCAGAGTGCCATGGCATCATAGCTCACAGCAACTTCCAACTCCTGGGCTCAAGCGAGTCTCCTGCCTCCGCCTCCCAAGTAGCTGGGACCACAGGCGCCCGCCACAACGCCCGGCTATTTTTTGGTTGCAGCCGTCATTGTTGTTTGGCGGGTCCGGGCTGGATTCGAACCCACCACCTTAGGTGTATGTGGCTGGCGCCTTAGCCACTTGAGCCACAGGTGCCGAGCCAACACCCGGTTATTTTTTTGCTGTAGTTGTCTTTGTTTTGTTGGCCTGGAGCAGGTTCGAAACCGCCACCCTCGGTGTACGTGGCTGGCACCATAACCACTTGCTACGGGCATCGAGCCAGCAAACATTTGAAAGAATCAGATGACAAATAATTTAGGCTTTGGAGACTATATGCAACCCAGATTATCTTTTTATACACAACAACAGTCTCAGTCACACCTACTCATCTCAATTAGTGTAGTGGGAAAGTAGTCTTACACAACACATAAATCATGATGAAGTTCCAATAAAACTATTTACAAAAATTGACAGCAGACTGGATTTGGTTTTGGGGTCAATGTGCCAAACCCTGATATAGAAATATTTTAGGACTAATAAACAATCATAATATATATCTAAAAGCTAGACAATATATAGTCCTTTTAAACTTAATTCCATACATTTATTACAAAGTTTTGAGTTGATCAAAGAGAATTTAAAGGAAAAAGTAAATTATGTCAATTATGTCCTTTAAGTTACAACATAATTAGCCAAAATGGAAGTATAATATTAAAACTAAACATGTGGTATCTGTATTTAGAAAACTGGTTAGATTCTGAGATGCCATCATGTAAGACTTTGGTAAAGATATATAAAAGGAAGAAAGATAATATTCCTGGCTCCTCGCTTGGCACCTCTGGCTCAGTGGTTAGGGCCACATGCACCAGGGCTGGTGGGTTCCAACCGGTCTGGGCCTGCTAAACAACAAATACAACAACAAAAATAAAGCTGGGAGTTGTGGCAGGCACCTGCAGTCCCAGTGACTTGGGAGGCTGAGGCAAGAGAACTGCTTAAGCTCAAGAGTTTGAGATTGCTGTGAACTGTGATGCCAAAGCACTCTACTGAGGATGACACAGTGAGACTTTGCCTACAAAAAAAAAAAAATCCTGGCTCTTGAGAACTTTATCACATGACAAAATACAAAGGTACAACAAACAGAAATTAGATTAAATACAAAGATGATACTGTCAGTGGAAAAAGCTTGGGTTCAAAATTAGACCACAATTATCAGCCATTGCACACAATTGTAAGCACATGACTCATACTTCCATAGTTGATCAAAGACTAGGGTCTAAAATGTAGCAATTAGAATGCCTAAAATCAAAAAGCAGGCAAAATCAAGTTTTGGTAAGGACAAGGAGCAACTAGAATTCTAACACACTGCTGGTAAGAATGAAAAATGGTGTATCTACTTAGGCAAACATTTCAGTAATCTTTTTTTTTTTTTTTGACAGGGGCTGGTACCCTACTCCTTTGAGCCACAGGCGCCGCCCTCCTTTTTTATTTTTTAATACACAGTCTCACTTTTGTTACATATACCCAAGAAAGTATATATGGATGTGTGTGTGTGTGTTTTTACAAGTGTGCACACGAATTAGGACTAGAGTAGTGTGGTGTCAGCCTAGGTCACAGCAACCTCAAACTCCTGGCTCAAGTGATACTTCTGCTTCACACTCCTGAATAGCTAGGACTACACCTCCAAGACCATTCTGGACTACTACTTTTTTTCTACTTGTAGTAGAGACTGGGTCTTGATCTTGCCTTGGCTGGTCTTAAACTCCTAAGCACAAGAGATCTTCCCACCTCAGCCTTCCGAGTGCTAGGATTACAGACAAGAGCCACCACACTCAGCCTGGTTTGGTAATCTTGTAAGGTTAAACATTCACCTACCACATGACCCAACATCCCACTTGAAATGAAAGCTTAGCTTCACACAAAATATTAGTTGAGAGATTTATATGTTTAGCAGCTAAACAACCACCAAAATTTAGAAACAACCCAGACTGCTAGAATATTAGTCATCAATAAAAAGAACAAACTTGATTCATATAACAAACTTAAGAATCTTAAGTACTGGCTCCGTGCCTGTAGCTCAACCGGCTAAGGCACCAGCCATGTACACCTAAGGTGGCGGGTTCGAATCCCCAGCCCGG